GCTCCTGGCATCTTGAACCTGCAGCAAGTGGGAGGCTGCTTTGTTCTTCATTCTTCTCTGATACCTGCTCATGTCACTCTCTCCTTGCTCTTGGGGAATTTGAACATTTGCATCAGGCATTTTCCTCAGGGCCTTTGCACTGTCCATACCTCCTGCCAGGCACAGGCTTCTGCAGATGGTAGCTCCCATCTTGTCTTCCTGGAGGTCTCTTTTCAAATGCCACTTATTGGCCTGTCTTGCCTGGACACCCTGTGTAAAATCAGACTCCCTCTTGACCTTCTCATTCACAGTTGCTTTTTTTCCCCTTAATAGTAACTGTCACCATTTGGCTTGCCACATGATTATTTCTTCCCCTCCTTGTGTGTGCTTGTATTATTTATCCTATTGAGGTGTTAGGAATACTTGCTTTCTTAGTCTTGGTCCATGATTCAGTAGATATTGCCTGGAACATAATCACCACTGAATTAAACTTCTTAAATTCATAAAATAAATTCAAAATTGAATACATAATCTATTGGGTAAAGGTGAGGGTAGGACTGGGATTCTAAATCAGAGATGCTTAAAAATATGTGGTGCTCATGAAAAACATGCCTCCATACCTTGACATTAAAAAAATAACTCACCCAATACAACTTTTGTTGTAAACATGAATGTGCAGGTGAGTGAACTGAGTGAACATTTACTGTACCTTTATTTTCATTTCATCTTTTATGTCCTAAAGTCTCTTCAGTGCTCATGAGCAAAGGATGACTTGAGAAATATCTTGAATCCTGCCCTGTTGAGCCTTGGCAAGGAGGTTTTGCACAGAGCGTAAGGGATTCCCCTACAAACATGCATGTTCTCCCCATCTCCCTGCTCACCTGGAATGGAAACTCACTAGTGGTCACTTTCTAATATATCACAGTGAATCAAATATATTTGGTTATACAATAGAAATCATGCTAAAAGAGAGATCAGTAGAGTAGAATAGCACATGAGGGAAGGTAGAGGGGAGGGAAAAGGAAGGTACTGGGAATAAACATGATTGGATCAGTTTCCGTGCATATCTGGATATGTCCTAACATATCCCAACATCATGTATAATTTTAGTGCTCAACAAAAAATAAAATTTATCTATAAACATTGGAATATTACCCAGCCTTTAGAAAGAAGAGACAGATGTCATGTACAAAATGTGAAAGGATACACCGGGGACACTCTGCAGAGAAATAAGCAGGCACAGAAAGACCAACACTGCATGGTGTCACTTAGGTGTGGAAAATAAAGGAGTCAACCTTGTAGAAAAAGAGAAGAAAGGGGGTTCCTGAGGGAGTCTTGGGAGAGAACTTCCACTTGGGGTATCATGGGGTTAAATCTTAGAAAGGCAGAAGAGGGTGTGAGATGGAGTAACAGGATGAATTCTCCTGACTTTAAGCCCATCTCTTGGGAATAGAGAATCAGCTGGAATAAGAAACGTCCTTTCCTGTCACAGGAGCAGAGTGTGGCATAGAGACCCTGATTAGCTGACAGGCAAGGAGGAGGGAGGGCAGAGGGAGGTTGAATAATGGGTCAGACAGGAGAAAATTCTAGTCTTCTAGAGCAAGCAAGGTGATGACAGTTTATAATTGTTCACTATGTATTTTCTAAAACACTAGAAGGGAGAAGTTAAAACATGCTCAACACAAGAAATGGTAAATGTAAGAGGAACTCAATTTGCCATTTATCCTGAGTGGGTTAGTACACATTTTTTGCATGCATTGAATTCCTTACCACATTGTGCTTCATAAATATGTACAATCATTACATGACAATTAAAATGTCAGAAGAAAGCAAACTTTGGTCAATATACTGATCATTCTCCTAAATAAATGCTAAATCTCTGTGCAACATATTTATGAGAGTCTTACCCAATTTGGGGAAAGAAAAATTAGAAATATCCAGCTTCTTGTCTCACCTAGCATAAAGAGAGCTGAGAACACTTGCAAAGAACAGAGTACAGGTAACAAAAGACATGAACCAGATCTTTAAAAGATGCAATTTACCAAAACTCACAGCATGAGAACTAACTCACAATCAGTAGAAAGTTGAACAACCCTGAAAAGTCTTTGGGAAAGTACCTGTGGGTGCTGTGACCTTCCCATCAATGACTTTGCTCTGTGTGTCTATACTCACCGACATCTTTCAAGGTAATGGAATCAAAACATGACAGAAAAAACACAGATTGGAGAAAAAGAAGTTCAAGAGTATGTAGAGGTGGGACTCCATGAGTGGAGCAAGCATTGGGATACTCTATCTGTTACCTCTGCCACAAGGACTACTCTCACTGGTTTGCAGTGAATAATATTAATATAATAGCTCGTCAGGAAAAATAGGAAAATTAAAAACCAACGAGGGAGCTGTATTTAGCTCACTGATAGGTATGTGTCAGGATGGGGCCTGAACCTGCTGAGAGTTCCCTCTGTCACTGAGCTACATCCCAGCCACTGGCAGAGTTTACCACATAAAGCACATCACTGTTCACAATTCCCCATAGATACATGTATATGAACATTTTAAAAAAGGCAAACAGGAAGTGGGTAGGAAAAAAAAAACATTCTTTTTTGAAGCCATGCAAAAAAAAAAAAAAAAACCTGGAATAAAAACTGCCCAAATTCCCTTTACTTAAGGAAGGAAAGAAAGGTCTCTCACAGAAAAATTGTAATATGGAAATTAGCTGATGAGAAAATGGATAAGTACTTTCAGTGTGTGGAGTGAGGAAATCCTGGCTGACTGATGTTCTTCAGCACCCTCATTTCAACTATTCAATTCATATTTTCCCACAAATATCTGGCACAAGAGTTGATGTCATGGTACATGTGGCTCACAAATCACTGCTGCAAGTTTGCCAGCATTCCTAGTCTGGATCATTCTCACCAACACAAAAACCAACCCCATAGAGCAATGGCACAAAATGGCCATAAATTGGTTCAAGACAAAAGAGTCGATGGCCTCATACAGCATCGTGGCTGAGCCCCAGAATCACAATGCAGAGACTCTCAGAAGCAGGCTCTCAGGAGAAAGTACCGATGAACCCTTGGAGCATAAACCCAGATGGAATAGAAAGAAATGGGAAAAAACCTGGAGCCGTAGGGAACATATTTAGAACATATAAGACAATAAAACAAAGCAATGTAGAAAATTTTTTAACTAATTAAAATGGCAATATTTAATTTATGTGATCCAAGAAGGTGAGCCAAAATAGACAAGGAATAAAGGTCAGGAAATTATGACACGATGTTTGAGTCCGTCAAGTGATCACACCATCACCTGAATGTGTGCAACGTTGTCAGTTAAACTTCAATAAAGCAGGAATGAAGAAGGATCACAGCTACATGAAAGTGTCCACCATCAAAGGAAGTGGAAGTAGAAGGCAGTTGTGCCCTGCAAGGTGACCTTTTGGCCCCTTGCTGGCCACACATCTGACTTCCACTTCATTGGACAAATATTTACTGAGCATAAATTACTTACCAAGAACCATACTGGGCCCTGGGACTGTAGCTTAGTGTAAGAGCACTTGGCTAGCACTTGTGGGACATGGGATTCAATCCTGAGAACCACATAAAAAAGTAAATGGATAAAGCTGCGGGTGGTGGTGCAGGCCTGTAATTCCAGCCACTGGGAGGATGAGGCATGAGGTTCAAAGCCAACCTCAGCAAAAGTGAGGTCCTGAGAAACTCAGCAAGACGCTGCTTCTAAATAAAATACAAAATAGGATTGGGGATGTGGCTCAGTTGTTGAGTGCCCCTGAGTTCAATCCTGAGTACCAAAACAAACAAACATAAAACTAAAACAAATCAAATGAAGGCATCCAATCTACAACTACAATAAATAAACAAACAAACAAACAAAGAAATAAATGGGAACCATACTAGGCACTGTAGTTGGAAAGGTGGAAAAGATACAGCTTTGATATTTTATGAGTCCATATTTTGCATGAGTCCATAAATTCAATAATATTGATTTGACCAAAAGGAAGAGAAAATCTTTGAGTTAAGTTTATTTGCATCACTTCAGAAATGTAAACGAGATGCCAGACAACATTTTTACAAAACCATAGTTACACACCCCATCACTGCTGAGCATATATAGCTGACACAGAAGATTTGATTCATAAATAAGCCCACAACAGGCCCAGGCATGGAGGCATATGCCTGCAATCCCACCTACTTAGGAGGCTGAGGCAGGAGGTTCACAAGTTCAAGGCCAGTGTGGGCAGCTTAGTGAGAGCTGGTCTCCAAAAAAAGGGATTGGGGATGTTGTTCCATGGAGCAGCATTGGCCTAGCATGTGTCAACCCCTGGGTTCTATCACCAGAACAGAAAAAAAAATAAAGAAATCCAGGAAGACAAGCACAGCACATTCTTGCTCAGATGTTCAGCTAACAAAAAGATTTCATAACCATAGTTTCCAGGAGTTACAAAGAGTAGGGGGGATAGTGGGATAGAGGCCCAAGAAAGAGGATAAAATCCAGTTACACAAGAGAAGAATGTTCTAATGTTCCACATAACAGTGGGGCGACAATAGTTCACAATAATTTAGTATACATTTTACAAAAATCTAAAGGAAAAGAGTCCACATCTTGACAATAAAACAAAACAATGAAGTTAAGAAGATGGAAATGTTAATGACCCTCTTTTTTATCATTATTCATGGGCACATGTACTGATCATGACAGAGTACCTCATCAATATGTGCCATTATTCCCAATCAATAAGATACATACATAAATGAAAAAACCAAATCAATATTGCTGATGACAGAAAATGCTCAGTTGAGTTCATACAAAGTTAAAATGACTGTGTAGTTAGTAAAAAAAAAAAAAGGTGGTACACTATAGAACATATTGAGCAATTCCTAGGGCAGGAAAATCCCAAAGGAAGATACAAAGAATGAGTTTTTGCCTTGAAGTGCACCAAGCACAGGTAGCCACAGCTGGATGGAAGGGGTGAGGTCTCTGGTCTCCAATATGGCGCACACTGTGACTCAGGAGAGATGTGCATGGACCCTTTCTCTGTGAGGAACCATCTTGCTGAGGACTCTCCCCAGGGCCACCTTGATGTCCCTGTTCCTTAGACTGTAGATGAAAGGGTTCAGCATGGGGGTGACCATGGTGTACATCACTGAGGCCATCAGAGTTATCCTAGAAGACAATGTGGCTACAGAACTGAGGTAGACCCCAAGGCCAGTGACATAGAACAAGGAGACCACCAGGAGGTGAGACCCACAGGTGGAGAAGGCTTTGTACTTGCCTCTGTCTGACGAGATTCTCAGGATGGAGGAGAAAATCTGAGAATAGGAGAGGAGGATGCCAGTGAGAGGGAAGACACCCAGGACGATGGTCTCAGAGTACAGCACTATGTGACTGATGAGTGTGTCAGAGCAGGCGAGCTTGAGGACTGCAGGAAGATCACAGAAGAAGTGAGGGATTTCTATGTTGGTGCAAAACGAGAGCCTCAAGATGCTCAAGGGCCCAGGCAGGGCACCCAGGACACTGACCAACAAGGATCCCAGAGCCATAAGCAGACAGATCCATGGGTTCATGATGTCCACATAGTGCAGGGGGTGACAGATGGCCACAAAGCGGTCATAGGCCATCACTGTCAGGAGCAAGTTTTCCTGGCATCCAAACAAAACAAAAAAATAAATCTGTGAGATGCAGCTGGCAAAGGTGATCAGTTTGCTGTGAGTGTGGATGTTCCTGAGAGCCTTGGGGATGGTGGTGGAGGTGAAGCCAATGTCAGCCAGGGACAGGTTGGAGAGGAAGAAGTACATGGGTGTATGCAGGTGGGAGTCTGAGATGACAGCCAGGATGATGAGCAGGTTCCCCAGCACAGTGACCAGGTACATGGCCAGAAGCAGGCCAAAGAAGAGGGACTGCAGGTCAGGGTCATCTGTGAATCCCAGGAGGATGAAGTTTTCAGCTCCTGTTTGGTTTCCTCTTTCCATGGTGCTGGTGTGTTTTCCCAGGAGGAAGAGAAGGAACTCCGAATTCACTCCAAATAGGGATTCCCCAGGATGAACCCAATGTCTATTATTGACACCTTGGGAACTCAAGGAATCATTTGTTTTGTCTTATCATAGGGTCTCTTTGCTGACAAATTGTAGTTATCATTGTTACTTGATGAAACTGGCTCTAGGTCATTGGTTCCCCAATGGACATCACTTAGGAACTTGCTGCAAATGTGCATATTCTCTTTCACTCTGTGTTTTAACAAGCCCCCTGGGGATTCGGAGGCTCACAGCCATAGGAGGACTGAGGCTGCAGTGCCTGAGCCTCCCTAAGCATCCTCCCTCCCCAGCACCCCTGCTGGCTGCTCTGGAGTGTTCTGCCACAGGCACATGGGAATGAGAACACCCTAGCTCCAGGCAGGTCTGTGAGGCATTGGAGGCTTGTTGTTTTACTGTGCTGCTTTTCTGGAATTTCTACGTGTGTATCCCGACCTTTGGTGGCCCTTCTATTAACACATATAAAAAGCATTGCTATCAGTAAGCCTTGTTTCCATTTCCTCTGAATTACCACTTTTTTTTTTTTATAAATCCAACCAACAAGGGTTTTTCTAAATAAAGAAATCCTAGCGTTTCTAAATAGAAATGTGAATCTTATGGATATTTTCCATCATCTGATTCTCATCACATCCAATTATTCCACCACATGGAAATGGCTCTTCAAATCCTGCCCATTCTTTCTCAGTTTTCTTTATGACAAATACAGTTTGGATTAATTTTAATTTTATACTTCCTTCTCTTAAGATGTAAATGGCCTCTGTCAGTTTTTAAAAATTCAGGTATAATCTTCGTCACATTCTTATAAATAAATGATTAAAAATGACCATTTATCAGGTTGTGAGATCTTTGGCCCCATGTTAAAAAAAGTGCATCTCTCTTCCTAATGGAGAGGGAGTATGGCAAGTCATTTAGTATTGTTTCTACTGTAATTTTATTCCTCTTTCCAGATTATACTCAAAGGTGAATTTAAGAATGACTAAGCTCTGTTGTAAGAGCAATGTGGTTGGGATTTCGTTAGAAATCCCCTCAAATTTATAAATTAATCTAGAAATAAAGGACATCATACTATGTTCAGATTATCATTCCAACAATTGACCTCTAGATATTTCCATTGTTTTATGAGCAAACTTTTCTTCTAAAGAAAATTAGATTATGTCCATTTCTTATTAATAATATTGAGGGTAGTTTTGATTTAACATTGTTAAGAATGATTATTCCCCACATTATATCTCCACCATTGCTATTATATGCAGAGATCTTTTTATTTTTCTTCATCGATGAAGTGTCATGCAATTTCTTGGCATTTTAGCATTAATTTATGATGTTTTCTAAAAGTCTCCTTTGATTAAGTGATGTTAATTTGTAACATGTTATCTCTCATTTCAGTTTCATTATTTTGTATCCAAAATCCAGATCCTTGTAAAGGTTTTTTTTTTTTTTTTTTTTTTTGTAAGATATGAAAGTCTTCTATTTTTTCCTTTCTTTTAAGGGCATAACCCTAGAGTTTTGTCTTCTAATATGATGCTCATTCTCATATTCAAGTGTTCATATTCAATGTGTAATTTTAATTTCATTAACAAGCATTTTTAAAATTCCTGTATTATTTAGAGAGACTCTTTAAAGTCATCAATAAATGTGTCATGGTTAATTAACTATTTTGAAAACATAATCTTAAATCCAATCTGTATATCCTCAAATAAATTTCAAATATTTGATGTGGAACAAGAAACTATAGCAGCTAACTTAAGAAATCATAAGTATATACATAATATAAATTTATACAGGGACACACATTACCATGGAAAGTGGAAGCATTTCTGAGTTAATTTTTTTTGGTACAAGTAAGAAAAGTAAAGTTCAGTGATTTGATTGAAAACATCTGAAGGAGAAAAAGTGACATGCAGATAGTTAGGATGTAAAAATAAACTGGTTAGTTAAAGTTAGTATCTTAGATTTATAAAGTCTTAGTGATAAATTATAGAAAGACTCATGCATTTCTTAGAAAAGGGCAGATAACATTAAAGATTCATGAAAGGAAATGTACAAAGAGTATTAAATTCTTGAGATTTTCATTCTTACCATTAATCTATGAAAGGGGCATGTATATAAGATGCCATTTCCTCTACAAAGTGGTTGTTAAAAACAGTAAATGCAAAATTCTACCATGAGAAAGACACAGCTACGAGTGGTGGACACTTGGTCAGGCATTGGTGCTCTTCAACGTCCAGGTGAAGTCATTCATTCCTGGCAGAGCTCAGCTGTGGATGAGAGGATCATGGGGCATATTTACTATTTCCAGGCCTGGGAGGTTGAATTCTCATGAATGCTCATTAAATTAATTGTTGCAGTGTTGTCTATTCTCTGAGCAATTGAGTTTCCATGAATGAGGATCCAACACTAGAAAGGTAATTGTGCATGATGCTAGTTTTGCACCTCTGGGACCATCTTGTTTTCCAGCTATGTCTGTCCTTCCCCTGGGGCTGTTGCCTCATGATGTCATTTTGTCCCTGGACTTGATCTCTACTGATGATTGTCCTTCCCCATGAGTATTTCCTCAAATGTGAGATGGAGCTCCTTGGTCTCTCCCAGGCATGAGCAGGCAGTATCCAAGCCCATATGAGTCCTGTACCTCAAGTGGGAGCTGTGCACAGGACACATCCAACTCCACACACAGCTCTTCCAATGACCTTGCCCTTCCAATGACCTTGCCAAATCTTCTATGTTCACCATCACAAGTTCAGTGCAGATGAAGTTCCAGGCATCTGGATAGGGAAGTGCAGTGAGAGGTGTGTTGGCTGGACAGGAAGGAATCTGTAGACTCTAGAGCTTTTCAGTTTCCCAAAAGCTGGATGCATGGTCCTCATTACTCCAGTGCAGAGAGTATGGACCATCATTTACAATTCACAAGGCATTGATCTTCACACCACAAGTCAAGCATTTTAAAAACAATTCCAGATAATTATAACAGTAGGACACAGAGTATTATTTTTAGGTACTCTCTTTAGTGTCAAGCATTATTCAACAGGTGAGAGCTTCTCCCCAGAAGGGAAGGCCTACCACGGGGCTCCTGATGCCCATGTGTTCCAGGGTTGCACACACCTGGTCCATGCTATGTTCCTGGATCTACTTTCCATTCTCCTCCTTTCAGGATGAAACCATCCCTTGCTCACACTTACAGAGACATCAGTCTCTACAAAAGCGTTTTATAGGAAACAGCCTATAGAAACCTAATGTTGTTTTCAAAGAAAGAAATTCAATGGAGAATGTCATAGAGTGTAATGCGCAGTGACCCCTGTTTGGGAACAATGTGACTGACTGTTTTCATTGTCCATGTATCGGGAATGCTTGCTCTAGGGAGAACTCATATGTGCTTTTTATAGCAATGTCCTGAGTGTTGTGAAACATAGTCCCCCTTCTCCCTTCTGATGTCATAGATCATAGGGCCAAGTCTGTGGTTCCTCCTTAAAAGCTATGCAAGGACTTATGGCCCATCACTCTCAGGTGTGCCCTTGGGTTTATACTTTGTTCCTGGAAAGTGGAGGTCTCTCTGCTTCATGGGTGACCTGTCCCGAGTCGCTTTTCTCCTTGACCTCCTTCCATCATGATGTCTGGCCTCACCCCAAGCCCAGAACTATAGTGTCACTGACCATAGCCTGAGCCTTTGAAACTGCAAGCCCAAATAAACTTTTCCTGCTATAAGTTGTTCTTGTGAGGACTTTTGAGTGTGGCATAGAAGATTAAAAGAGGAAGTGAAATTAAAATACAATTGTGCCCTGAATAAGCACGTTTTGGTCCCTTCTCCATCAGACATAAATGTGATCTCATAACATTTCATCACCTGGTGATGTCATACTAAGCTTGTGTAAGTGGCTGTGATAAAAGGGAAGGACTTGTCCCTCCCCCATATCTCTCTGGGATCTGGTCTCTCCATGTGATCTCTCCCTCTTGGGAGGGCTCCTGGCATAGCTATCTCTACCCAGATGGGATGAAGTCAGAGCCTCCTCCCAGAGATGTAGTCATGCTAATAGGACTTGATAGAACCCCAAACTGTGAGATAAATAGACTTGTTTATAATGTACCCAGTTTCTGGCACTTTGATATAGCAATGCAAGTGGACTAATACATCACATAAAGTGACATTGGGAAACCTAGTGATATGATGTGTATAAAACATGGAAATAGTGCTAGAACATACTGAGTGTTGTAATTAATATCAGCATTAGTAACTCAGAATTTCTTTTCAAATTCAAAATATTTATTTCAATTTATAACTTTTTATTTTATGGTCCATATTCTATTTTACATTTAATTACCTGCCTGTCAAATATTTATTCCATTCGATAAAGATTCAATGAACTTTCTTAGGAAAGAGCCAATTCTCAAATTTGAGGATTCTGTACAGAGGATAAGTAGAAAATTCAATATAATCAGCATGATGGGAAGCACAGGTCTGATATAAGGGGGAAAACTTAGAGTTATTTTTTCCCCTCATTTCAGAAAACATTCCTGTAAATGAGTATTCAAGACAGCATTTTCACAACACCAGAGGTACATGTCCATTCACTTCTGAGGATATATGTCACTCAAAAAACAGAAAGCAAGGACTGCAAGTTCTCACTCAGGTGAGGAAGCTGATGAAGTTGATATCACACAAGTCAAGAGTGTAACAGTGGTCCCTGGAAGTCAGGCATGGTGAAGAGGAGGTTAGGTAGAGGGCATGAAATCCAGTTGCATAACAAAAATGATTTTTAAAGTTCTACAGCACATTAGAGAACAATATTTCACAAAATTGATTGTATAATTTTAGAAAAACAGAAGAGAGGAGCATCAAATATCCCAGTAAAAGAAATGATAAATATTTCAGTGGATGGAAATGATGATTACCTTGATTTGATCACTACTCTTTATACACAGGGCCCCATCAACATATGCAAATATTT